CTGACCTCAGGTGATCCACCTGCCTCAGCCTCCCAAAGTGCTGGGATTACAGGCAAGAGCCACCATGCCTGGCCACCTGTCACTTCGATTTTCATGTTGTTCAGCTATGGTAAAATGTGAACTCTGGAAGCGTAATGTGTGATTTGCTTTGTGGCCCCACCAGTCCCCTCTCTCCTCCCTGTTTTCCTGCCCATCCTCCCCCAGCCATGAGCAGGGAATATTTCAATGCTATTGCTGAGAGTGGAGGTAACCCTTTCCATAGTTTTCTTTTGTTTCTACTTCATGACTAGAGATTCGCTTCTTGAATGTGCTCCACACATCCATTCTTTCTCACTCCAAAATTGAGGTCATCACCAAGCCCCATTAATTTTACCTCCCAGATTCCTCTTGAACCTGTCTTGTCACACCTGTCCATCTTCCCTGCCACTTTTCAGTCCCAAACAACCAGACTCTCTTACCTGAATTCCTGTAGCAGCCTCCAAACTGATATTCCTATTTTTGCTCTGAAAAAACTCACAGAAACCAGAGTGATCTTTTAAAATCCTAAATCAGGCCGGGCTCACACCTATAATCTTAGCACTTTGGGAGGCTGAGGCAGGCAGATCACCTGATGTTGGGAGTTTGAGACCAGCCTGACCAACACAGAGAGACCCTGTCTCTACTAAAAATACAAAATTAGCTGGGTGTGGTGGCACATACCTGTAATTCCAGTTACTCAGGAAGCTGAGGCAGGAGAATCACTTAAACCTAGGAGGTGGAGGTTGCAGTGAGCCGAGGTTGTGCCATTGCACTCTAGCCTGTGCAACAAGAGGAAAACTACGTCTCAAATACATAAATAAGTAAAAATAAAAACCTAAATTGAATCACATTACTTCTCAGCAGCTTTCCATTGCTTTTAGAATGAAGACCCAAATCCTTACCTAGTCCTAAGAGACCCTTGTGGTTTTGTCCCCTCAGCCTCCAGCCTCTTCTGATGCCCCCTTCCCTCTCTCCCTTGCCTCACTCAGCACTCTTGAGTTCTCTGCTTTTTGGTCATGCCAAGGTTGTGTGCTCTTTAGAGCCTTGGTACTAACTGTTCCCTCAGCCCAGAATGTTCATCATCCAGACCTTTGCATTGCCTCCTATTTGTCAACCACGTTTCAGCCTAAACTCATCCTCAGGAAGACTTTCCCATCTAAATTAGTCACCCTCCGTCACATTATCCTTACACCTCTATCAGAGTCCTTACACCTGTCTGATCATTTATTAATTGATTTGTTTTTGGTAAACCCCATAAAAGGTAAGAGTCATTTCTCTTGTTTCCATTCTTTCCATGGCACTTAAAACAGTGCCTGGCACATGGTGGGTGCTCAAGAAATGCTTACTGGATGGATTAATGAGTGCATGCCCACAGGTAAGGATCTCGTTGCACTGGAAAAGTAGCAGAGTGAGACAAAACTGAACAAGCGAGCAAAGGTCACACCAAGGAGGTTCTTAGCTGCCAAACTGGGGGAGTTTGGATCTTACTCCTTGGGGGAAAAGGGTGCAGCTGGTGGTTTTATAGGAAAGGAGAGGAGAGGCGTGATCAGCACTTGAGAAGGTCAATTTGGCCGCTGGGTGTAGGTCATATTACAGAGAAAAAAACTGAAGGCTTTGAGACAATCCATGATATAAAGGGCTTAGCACAGTGCCTGGCATATAGTGAGTCTCCAGTGAGTCACTGTTATCAACAAGCACCTTGGAAGGCACCACAACAAAAAAATCTCCTTACTGGCTGCAGAATCTTTTTTTTTTCTGAGATGGAATCTCACTCTGTCCCCAGACTGGAGCGCAGTGGCATGCTCTTCGTTCACTGCAACCTCCTCCTCCAGGTTCAAGCGATTCTCCTACCTTAGACTCTCAAGTGGCTGGGATTACGGGCGTGCACCACCATGCTCAGCTAACTTTTTGTATTTTTAGTAGAGATGGGGCTTCACCATGATGGCCAAGCTGGTTTCAAACTCCTGACCTCAAGGTCAGGTCTTGGCCTCCCAAAGTGCTAGGATTACAGGCGTAAGCCACTGTACCAGTCTGCTGTTGAACCATTTTTAAAGCAATTGTACCAATTTACAATGTTCCCAACAGTAAATGGCTACTAGTCTCATCACACTGTCATTTGTAAAAAAGTTTTGCTAATTTAATATACGTGATCCTTACATATTATTTTAGTTTGCATTTCTTTGATTACTCGTGAAGTTGAACATTTTTTTCTGTTAGAATCTTTCTTGTATTTCTTCTGTTGTTGTCATTAGTGTAACTCAGAGCAGAATTGAGAATCCAAAATGTGAACATTTGATTTTGAGGAAGTCATTTTTTTCCTGTTGTCTTCCTTCCCTCTCTCTGCTTTATTATTTTTTACTTCATGTTCATTTATGGAAATATTAGAAAATTCAATTAAACAGAGTAAATTCCACCTCCCAGAGATCACCACTACTGTTTGTTGTATATCCTTTTAAGGTTTTCTCTGCCAAAAAAATACTCACAAATATATTGCCTATTCTTTCTGAACCTGTTTCCTCATTTATCAAATGGAATACTTGTCCTTCAAGTTGATAATTAACTGGTGGGAGCACATGAAAGTATTTTATAAAATGCACGATGTTATACAAATGCAAGTTGCTGCTCTTAAGACAAAGAAAAAACTGTTTTTATTCTGCCAAGCAGAATGATGACTTTGTTTCCTGACCACAGCCTGCCCTCACCAGTACAATTTCTTCTCCCTAGAATAGCTTCTTGCTTCAATTCCTCCTGCTGAACTACTATCTACTCTCCAGAAAAAACTAATATTAAAAGATACAAAAATTAGTGTAAAGAACAACCATGGGCCAGGCGCTGTGGCTCACGCCTATAATCCCAGCACTTTGGGAGGCTGAGGTGGGGCAGATCACAAGGTCAGGAGTTTGAGATGAGCCTGGCCAATATGGTGAAACCCTGTGTCAACTAAAATACAAAAATTAGCCAGGCATGGTGACACATCCCTGTAGTCCTGGCTACTTGGGAGGCTGAAGCAGAAGAATCTCTTGAACCTTGGAGGTGGAGGTTGCAGTGAGCCAAGATTGTGCCATTGCGCTCCAGCCTGGGTGACAGAGCAAGACTGCATCTTAAAACAACAACAACAACAGTAAAGGTAAAAGGCAAAATGAAACATATTGTTTAAGCAAGAAGGATACTCATACAAACTAACTGTAGCCTTGACCTCCAGTGCTCAAGTGATCCTCCTACCTCAGCCTACCAAGTAGCTAGAACTACAGACACCAGCCACCGTGGCCAGCTAATTTTTAATTTTTGTAGAGATGGGGTTTCACTATGCTGCTCAGGCTGGTCTTGAACTCCTGGGCTCAAGAAATACTCTAGCCTCAGCCTCCCAAAATGCTGGGATTATAGGTGTGACCTACTATGCCCAGCTGAGATGCATATTAAAACCACAATGAGATATTATTTCACACCTAAAAACAATTTGTAAATAAAATGTTACACCACATATATATGCCTTTTTTCTATATATACACACATACATATACATACATGTATATATATATAAAATACATATATGTATCCAATTAACTACTACTCATACAAACTAATGAAAATGAAAGGGTTTACTAATATAAACTTCAGTATAATAGTTAATTACATCCCAGTGTCCACCCATTCCCTATGTAGCAACCCATGGTACCTGAAGAAAAACGTCACTGCCTCTGCCAGTGGTGGGGCATCTTTTCAAAGAGGCTCTACTTGGGCTTTTTGAAACATCATGTGGCTGTGTTGCTTGAGAAGCCTGGGGTAAAGTTAACTAGACAGGAATCAGGGCCTGATCACACGCACACACACCTTCACGATTTTTCTAGCTTGGTTTCACTGTTTCCACAACTTGTACCCTTTCTCACCCTTCCATGGGCCTTTTCTGTAAAGTCTTTCTCTCTTTTTTTTTTTATTGTGTGTGATTTTGAGACAGTCTTGCTCTGTCACCCAGGCTGGAAGTGCAGTGGAGCAATCTTGGCTCGCTGCAACCTCCACCTCGCAGGTTCAAGCAATTCTGCCTAGTATCTGCGATTATAGGCACCCACTACCATGCCTAGCTAATTTTTGTATTTTTAGTAGAGACAGGGTTTCACCATGTTGGCCTGGCTGGTCTCGAACTCCTGACCTCATGATCCCTCTGCCTCTGCCTCCCAAAATGCTGAGATTACAAGTGTGAGCCACCATGCCAGGCCTGGAAAGTCTTTCTTTTTCTTTTTAGAAAAAATAAAAGTTTGTTTTTATTGTTGTGTACTGACATTCAGTAAAAATTTTACTTACATTGAAGGTTTTCCCACAACTAACAGGACTCTGAAGAGTTTTTCTTTTTCTTTTTTTTTTTTTTTGAGATGGAGTCACACTCTGTTGCCTAGGCTGGAGTACAGTGGTGTATCTTGGCTCATTGCAACCTACACCACCCAGGTTCAAGTGATTCTTATGCCTCAGCCTCTGGAATAGCTGGTACTATTACTACAGGCACATGCTACCATGCCCAGCTAATTTTTGTATTTTTTGGTAGAGACAGGGTTTCAACATACTGGCCAAGCTGGAGAATTTTTAATTTTAGTAATGTCTGAGCTCTGAGTTAAACTTTCATTATAAAAACTGAATTAAAGTTTTCTCACCAGTGTGGTATTAGTGTTTTTAAAAAATAGAGTCTCTGTTGCTCAGGCTGGAGTGCAATGGTGTGATCATAGCTCACTGCAGCCTCAAACTCCTGGGCTCAAGTGATGCTTCCACCTCTTCCTCCCAAAGTTCTGGGATTACAGGTGTGAGCCACCATGTCTGGCTCCAGTGTGGTTTTAATGTTGTATAAGGGTTCAACACTAATTAAAACCTTTTTCATACTCATCAATAATCAACAGCATTCATTTAGATTTTTTTCTGGTATGGTATCTCTGGTACTGAATCGAGGTGACGTATACACTAAAAGTTTTCTCACATTCATCACATTTTGACTGTATTCCCCCACAATGGTCTTCCTCATGATTAGTAAGTTCGAAGAGTTGGCTAAAACTTCTGCTGTACTGAACATACTAGTGTTTCTCCCCACCATGGATTTTCTGGTGTTCAATTAGATCTGTGCATGTGCTAAAGGCTTTCCCACATGCATCACACTTACATGTCTTTTCACCTCACCAGTGTGTATTTTTCAATGATTAATGAGATCAGAGTGCCGACTAAAGCTTTTGCCACATTCATCACATGGATTTGGTTTCTCACCAGTGTGGATTCTCTGGTGTAGGGCTGAACACTGATTGAAAGCCTTCCTGTACTCATTACATTTATATGGTTTTTCCCTAGTGTGTATTTTCTGATGTTTAATGAGGTATGAGTTGTGATTGAACCTTTTGCTGCACTGTGCGCATGGATAAGGTTTTTCTCCAGTGTGGAGTCTCTGATGAAGAATAAGGTCAAAACTCTTACTGAAGGCTTTCTCACAACTATTACAATGTAAGGCTTCACCAGCGTGTACTCTCTGATGTTTAGTGAGGTCTGAGCTTTGACTGTATCTTTTATCACACTGATTACATGCATATGGTTTCTCTCCAGTGTGTATTCTTTGATGCTTAACAAGATCTGGACCGTGACTAAAGCTTTTAGTCCAATCCCTACAGGGATAAGGTTTCTCTCCAGTGTGGATTCTCTGATGAAGAATGAGGTTGGAGCTCCGACTAAAGGCTTTCCCACATTGATCACATTCATAGGGTTTCTCATCTGTATGAATTCTGTGATGTTTAACAAGATCTGATCTTCGACAAAACATTTTATTGCACTGATTACATGGATAAGGCCTCTCTCCAGTGTGAATTCGTTGATGATTAATAAGATCTGAAAGTCTTCTGAAGGTTTTGCTACATTGATCACAGGGATAGAGTTTCTCTCCAATATGAATTCTCTGATGTAAAATAAGGACTGAGCTCTGATTAAAAGCTTTCCCATATTCATGACATTTATAGCTCTCCAGTGTGGACCCTTCACTGTTTAATAAAGTCTGAATTCTGACTGAAACTTTTGCCACACTGATTACATGGATATGGTTTCTCCCCATTGTGGATTCTCTGATGCAGAATAAGATCTGAGCTCTGACTGAAGGCTTTCCCCCACACATCACATTTATATGGTTTCTCCCCAGTGTGGATTCTTTGATGTTTTATCACATCAGAACTCTGACTAAAATATTTGTTACATGGTTACAAGCATAAGGCGTCTCTCCAGTATGGATTCTGATGTTTCACCAAATCTTGAGCACTGGCTAAAACTTTTACTACAATGACTGCATTGATAGGGATATTCTCCTGTGTGGATTCCCTGATGTATAATGAGATCTGAATTCTGACTGAAGGCTTTCCCACACTCATCTCATTTATAAGGTTTCTCACTTGTGTGGACTTTTTGGTGTTTAATAAGATCTGAGCTCCGACGGAAACTTTTAATACATAAATTACAAGGATGGGTTTCTCCCCCCAGTATGACTTCTCTGATGCAGAACGAGGGCTGAGCTCACACTAAAGGCTTTTCCACATTCATAAGGTTTCTCAGAACGGGTTCTCTGATGCCTAAAAAGGTTTGTACTAAAAACAAAGCTTTGCCCACATTTGTCACAGTTTTGTGGTCTTTCTTTAAAGATTTTCATTTAATTTATCCCCAAATTCACAGAATTCTCTGCCTTCCCTGTTTCAGGGGTTTGCCATGGGGAACCCTGCTATGCAGGCTTGTCTCACGTTCTAACCCTGTGATGGGGTCTGGTGTTCCATGCCTCATTTACTGCTCTTTCCCCATACTTTGGTCTGACTCTCCAGTGAGCTCATGATTCCCATGAGCTATTTCTGTCTTTTGATGAGTCCTTAGATTGGTCCTTTTTCTTAGGCCTATTCTAACCCCTGCCTGGAAACCAATGCCCCAACTCCATTCTGGGCTGACTTCCTCCCACAACTTCTGGGTCTCTGCTGTTGTATATTGTAGATCAGGACATGGGTGTTCACAAAAGTTCGTTGGAAGGTTTTCAGAGGCAGTTAGGCATATTTAGGAAGTAAATGAACACCTTCTCATTGATATGGTGTCTATAAACTAGGAGGTGGTGTTGAATGGAGATTTGACAGAGATTTTAGAATCAGAGAAGGAGGCTTGATCCTAACTCTGAACCTTATGGCCTTAAGCAAAATACATAATCTCTTTGTGCCTGTTTTCTCATTTGTGAACGAGGATAATTATACTTCCTCATAGGGTTATTGTGAAGATTAAATGAGACAATATAAATAAAGCACCTAGCATTTTCTGGAACATGGTAAGCAGTTGGTAAATAACTGCAATTACCAACGGGTAGTTTAAAACTTTTCCTCCATCTGAAAAATCAAGAGTTGAAGAAGTGCCTAAAGTCAGAATACCTGGCAGAGCTATGCTTAACCACAAGGTCTGGAATATCTGAATACCTTTAGGATAAGATGAAATAGGTTTCTCTCCTCAAATGAGTTGGTTAAGGAGCTAAGCAGTGATAGGTAACACTTGAAGTTTCACAAAGATGAAAACTAGTACTTGACAGTCAGTCACTTGATGGTATTCTGAAGTTTATTGTCTCCTTTGTTCTATCTCTAGCCTTAGTTTCCCCAAGGCATTCACTGTATAGAGAGACAAAGAAACAAGATCAGCAATTGCATAGACCAAGTGGAGTATCCAATTTATTATGGGCTACGTCTGTTCAAAAGACTCATGAACTACATGAAGTTAGTCCTAACAGAGAAGAGCAGGGGCCTGGCTAGCTCATAGTCCTTTTTATGTAAAATTTTACCATTAGCATATTTGGCAACATTACTTATAAGCTACCCCAACCCCTCCCCATACACTCAAGTTTCCTTAGATGTATATATTAGTTTTCTGTTGAAGTCCAGGCAAGCTTGACTGGGTTCTTTGCTCAGAGTCTTACAAGATCAAGATTAAAATAACCACTAGATTAAGGACCTTGAGGCTGTGGGGAGAATCTGCTTCCAAGCTTTTTTAGGCTACTGGCAGAATCAAGTTCTTTGCAGTTGTAGGTCTGAGGTCCCTGTTTCCTTGCTGGCTATCAGTCAAGGGCCACTCTATCTTCTCAAGGCTTCTCTCAAGTCCTTTCCATGTGGACCCCTCTATATTCAATACCAGGAATGGCCCATTGAACCATTCCATGCTTTGAGTCTCTAACTTCTTTTACCAGCAAAGGAATCTCTCTCATTATAAATGGCTCATGTGATGACCAGGATAATCTTTCCATCTTAAGATCAGCTGTTTAGTAACCTTATTTGCATCTGCAAAATCCCTTCAGAATAGTGCCTAGATTAGAGTTTGATTGAATAACCAAGAATTGAGAATCCTGGGAAGTCATCTCAGAATTCTGCCTACACAGCATAGTTATAATCTCCTGAAGAGCTATCTTGTGAGGCCTGACAGTTACAGTACAAGCATTGGGTAAATATTCCCATTTCAAAAAATGGAGAAATCAGGCAACAAGAAAGGAGCTACAGCCCCCATGCAAGTTTGAAAGCTAGAAGGGCGGTCATTAAATCTTAAAGCTCTAAAATAATATTTGACTTCATGTCCTATATGCTGGGAACACTGGTAATGGGTGGGTTCCCAAGGCATTGGGCAGCTCTGCCCCTGTGGCTTTGCAGGACTCACCCCCCATGACTGCTCTCATGGGCTAGAGTTGAGTGCCTGTGGCTCTGCCAGGCACAGGGTCCCAGCTGCTATTAGATCTACCATTCTTGGATCTGGCCTTCTTCTCACAGCTCCACTAGGCAGTGCCCCATTGGAGAATGTGTATTAGTCTGTTGTCATGCTGCTAATAAAGATATATCCAAGACTGGGTAATTTATAAAGGAAACAGGTTTAATTGATTCACAGTTCCACATTGTGGGGGATGGGGGGCTTACAATCATGGCATAAGGCAAATGAGGAGCAAAGTCACATCTTACATGACAGCAGACAAGAGAAGCTTGTGCAAGGGAACTCCCATTTATAAAACCATCAGATCTCCTGAGATTCATTCACTACCACTAGAACAGTATGAGAGAAACCACCCCCATGATTTAATTATCTCCACCTGGCCCCACCCTTGACACATGGAGATTGTTATAAGTCAAGATGAGGTTTGTGTGGGGACACAGCCAAACCATATGAGGGTGCCAACCCCACAATTACCCTGGGCACTGCCCTAGTAGAGTTTCTCTGAAGGGCTCCACTCCTGCATCAGTCTTCTGCTCACAGGCTTAACACCACATGGAAGCCACCAAGGTTTTCAGCTTGCACCATCTGGAACTGCAGCCCAAGCTGTACCTGGGCCTCTTTGAGCTGTGGCTACAGGTGGAACAGCCTGGATGTGAGAAGCAGTGTCCCAAGGCTGTGCAGTGCAGCAGGGCTCTGGGCCTGGCCCAGGAAACCATTCTTCACTCCTAGGCCTCTGGGCCTATGATGGGAGGGGCTGAAGGTCTCTAAAATGCCTTTGAGGTCTTTTTCTCATTGTCTTGGCTATTAGTTCTTGGCTTCTCTTTTAGTTATTCAAATTCTCTAGCTAGCGGTGGCTCCACAGCCTGCTCGAATTCCTCTCCTGAAAAGGCTTTCTTTCTTTGCCACGTAGCCAGGCTGCAAATTTTCCAAACTTTTATGCTGTGCTTCCTGTTTAAATATCAATTTCAGGTTTAAGCCATTTCTTTGCTCCCATGTTTAAGTTAGGCTGTCAGAAGCAGCCATGCCACCTCTTGAATGCAGTGCTGCTTAGAAATTTCTTCTGCCAGCTAGGTGTGGTGGCTCACACCTGTAATCCCAGCACTTTGGGAGGCCAAGGTGGGCAGATCACCTGAGGTCAGGAGTTTGAGACCAGCCTGGCCAACATGGTGAAACCATATCTCTATAAAAATACAAAATTAGCTGGGCATGGTGGTGGGTGCCTGTAATTCCAGCTACTCAGGAGGCTAAGGCATGAGAATCACTAGTACCCAGGAGGCGGAGGTTGCAGTGAGCCAAGATCATGCCACTGCACTGCAGCTTGGGTGATAGAGTAAGACTCCATCTGAAAAAAAAAAGAAGGAAATTTCTTCTGTCAGATACCCTAGATCATCACTTTTTAGTTAAAAGTTCTACATATCCCTAGGGCATGGACAGAACGCAGCCAAGCTCTTTGCTAAGACATAAAACATGTGACCTTGTTTAAGTTCTAAATAAGTTTCTCACTTTCATCTGAGACCTTGTCAGCCAGTGCTTCACTGTCCATATCTCTATCAGTGTTTTGGTCAAAACCACTTAACCAGTCTCTAAGAAATTCCAAACTCTCCTTCATCTTCCTGTCTTCTTCTGAGCCCTCCAAACTCTTCCAGCCTCCAAACTCTTCCAACCTATATTGTTACCCAGTTCCAAAGTTGCTTCCACATTTTCAGTTTTCTTTATAGCAGTGCCCTACTGCTTGGTTCCAATTTTCTGTGTTAGTCCATTTTGCATTGCTAGAAAGAAATATCTAAGACTGGGTAATTTATTTTATTTTATTTTTTCTGAGTCAAAGCCTTGCTCTGCCACCCAGGCTGGAGAGCAGTGGTACAATCTTGGCTCACTGCAACCTCCAGGGTTCAAGCAATTCTCCTGCCTCCGCCTCTAGAGTAGCTGGGATTACAGGCATGCACCATCACACCTCACTAATTTTTGTTTTGTGTTTTCAGTTCAGAAGGAATTTCACTGTGTTGGTCAGGCTGGTCTTGAACTCCTGACCTCAAGTGATCCACGCACCTTTGCCTCCCAAAGTGCTAGGATTATAGGTGTGAGCCCCTGCACCTGGCTGAGGCTGGGTAATTTATAAGAAAAGAGATTTAATTGGCTCACAGTTCTGGAGACTATATACAGGAAGCATAGCGGCATCTGCTTCTGGGGAGGCCTCAGGAAGTTTCCAATCATGGTAAAAGGTGAACAGGGAGGTGGCACATCACATGGTGAAATCAAGAGTGAGAGAAAGAGAGTGCCACACACTTTTAAATGACCAGAGCTCATGAGAACTCACCATCACAAGAAAAGCACCAAGGGGATGGTGCTATATTATTCAAGAGAAAACTGCCCCATTATCAAATCACCTCCCACCAGGCCCCATTTCCAATCAATACTGGGAATTATAATTTAACATGAGATTTGGATGGGGACAAATATCCAAACTATATCAACAATTATGTTACTTCTCCATCTATTTTTCTCC